CACCACCATCATCATCATCATCATCAGCAGCATCATCATTGGCAGCAGTAGCAACAGCAGCGTCATCATCATCATGATTATCATCGTCACCATCGCAACCACAACATCATCATAACCATCATCAACAACTTAATCAGTATCATCTTCATCATCATCAGCAGCAGCAGCATCGCCGTCGTCGTCGACGTCCCCATCATCCTCACCATCACCACCACAATCATCGAATCATCGTCATCACCATCATCATCATAATCACCACCATCACCATCATCATCATCATCAGCAGCAGCATCATCCCCCTCCTCCTCCTCCTCCTCCTCCTCCTCCTCCTCCTCCTACTCATCCTCCTCTTCCTCGTCGTGCTCTTCCGCGCCGTCGTCCTGATCCTTGGACTTTCTTGCTCGATCCGGAGTCGGAGCCTTCCGTGAATTTACCCCCCGAATGGCCAACTCCCAAGTCGAGGAGAATGAGAAGGACAACGCTCCCTCCTCCTCCTCCTCCTCCTCCTTTTCCTCCTCCTTTTCCTCCTCTTCCCACTTCTCCGCCATCATCTCCTCCTCCTCCTCCTCCTCCTCCTCCTCCTCCTCCTCCTCCTCCACCTCCTCCTGCCTCCTCTTCCTCCTCCTCCCTCCGCCTCCCTCCGCCCCCTCCTTAGTCATCTTCCTCCAGACTCTTACTTTCCCAGGAGCCGCCCCCAGAAGGGGCGAAATTCAACCGCAGATGTTCATGGCAGAGCGGCAGTGGCAGAGGACGCCGCGGCGGCGACGCACCCAAGAGGTCGCGAGGCATGCAAAGCAGGTAGGGCATCGAAGCTGACAAGGGACGGCGGACCCGCGTCCATCGCCCACATCACCATCGAAGGAAGGCAACGACACGAGGCGAGTGCATCAGCATCATCATCATCATCATCATCATCATCATCATCATCATCATCATCATCATCATCATCATCATCATCATCATCATCATCATCATCATCATCACAATACTAATAATAATAAGAATAATAATAATAATAATCATCATCAGCATCATCATCATCATCATCATCATCATCATCATCATGATCATCATCAGCATCATCATGATCATCATCATCGTCATCATCATCAGCATCATCATCAGCATGAAAATCCTCATGACACCATCATCACGATCACCATCATCATCATCATCAGCATCATCACCACCACCACCAACACCACCACGACCATTATCACCATCATAATCAGCATTATCATCAGCATCACCATCATCTGCAGCAGCATAATCATCAGCAGTATCATCATTATCATAATCAGCATCATCCTCATCATCATCATCATCAGCAGCAACATCATCATCAGCATCATCATCATCATCGGCAACAGCATCGTAATCAGCATCATCATCAGCATCATCATCAGCAGCATGATCATTCTCATCACCAGTCCTTGTCATCATCATCATCATCAGCATCAGCATTCATCATCATCAGCATCATCAGCACCATCATCGTAATCAGCATCAGCAGCATCAGCATCATATCATCAGCATCATTATTATCGTCGTCCTCATGTTCAGCATCATCATCATCAGAATCAGCATCATCATCATCATCATCATCATCATCATCATCATCATCATCATCATCATCATCTTCATCGGCAACATCAGCATCAGCATCAGCATCATCAGAATCATGATCAGCATCACCAGCACCATCTGCAACAGCAGCCTCATCATCCGTATCATGATCAGCATCATCATCATCATCATCAGCAGCAGCATCATGGTCATCATTATCATCATCATCGTGGCAACCACTATCACCACCATCCGCAGCGTTGCCATCACCACCATAGTTACCGTCATCACCCTCACCATCGCATGATCAATCGCACCATCACCATTGCCTTCATCATAGTCCGCATCCTTCTTCTCCGCATCATCATCAGCAGCAGCAGCATCATCAGCATCATCATCAGAATCAGCATCATCAAACCCATCAGCAGCAGCTGCATCATCAGCATCCTCATCACAATCATCATCATCCAGATCATCGCCACTACCATCAGCAATCATCACAAACATCATCATCAACATCAGTATCGTCGCCATCACCACCATAGTTACCGTGATCATCTTCATCATCACATGATCAATCGCACCATCACCATTGTCTTCATCATACTCCTCATCCTTCCCGTCCTCATTATCATCATCATCGTCATCAGCATCATCAGCAGCAGCAGCATCACCACCATCATCATCAGCAGCAGCATCATCATGAGCATTATCATCATCATTATCGTCGTCATCATCATCACCGTCATCATCATAGTCATCAGCATCATCATCAGCACCGTAAGAATCATCGTAAGTATTATCAGCATCGTCATCAGCATTATCAGCATCATCATCATCATCATCATCATCATCATCATCAGAATCATCATAATCATCAGCATCACCATCAACATCATCAGCATCGTAATCAGCATCATCATCACACTCAGCATCATCATCAGCATTATCATCAGCATCCTAAGCATCCGCATCAGTATCATCATCAGCAGTATCATCATCACAACCACCACCACCACCATGATCATCATCGTCATCATCATCATCAGCAGCATCATGATCATCAGCATCATCATCGTCATCGTCATCGTCTTAGTCATCGTCGTCACCGTTACCGTCATCGTCATCGTCATCGTCATCGTCATGGTCATCATCGCCATCATCGACCTCATCATCACCATCATCACCTCCGCCACAACCAGCGTCACAGTCAGCACTAACAATACCACGCAGCTTCTGTCGTCCTGGCGCCTTGCTGGTGGCCCTGCTGGCTGGTCCACAACAGCTAACTGCAGACGCGCCCGACCTCGGCCACGGACCCGGGGAACAGCAGCACTTTGATCCTCCTCTTCCTGCGCGGGCCGAGGCGACCTGCGCCGCGCGCGCACCCCTTGATGCCGAACGGGTCGGGAAATGACTGGCACAGCAGCTGCACCGCGCCGCCCCAGAAGCTGCGCCCGGCGCAGCTGCCGTCTCCTCCTCCTCCTCCTCCTCCTCCTCCTCCTCCTCCTCTTCCTCCTCCTCCTCCTCCGCTTCCTCCTCCTCCTCGCGCCATGCCAACAACTTAGCGCGCGCAATTGTGTACCGAACATTGGGGAGAATTATTACCCGTCTTTTCTTGGATTTCCACGGGCTTGGTTCGATGGTCGATGATATTAGCACCTCGATCTACGGCAGCAAGTCAGCTGTGGAGGAGGCCCTGCCTGCTGCGATGCAGGCACTTGGCGACTCACTCGAGCAGGAGGGCCTCAAAGCTGGCAGACCAGAGTGCGATCTACTCCTTGGACCTCCCGATGACCAGGCGAATGGTGGCCAAGCTCGAGAAGCGCGGCCTCACCTTCCAGGTGGCGGAGGAGGGCCGCGACCTCGGAGTGGACAGAGCTGCTGCTGCAGGAGCTGGGCGCCGCGCCACCCACATGGGCAGGCGCAAGAGGGCCCACAAGGCGGATGCATGCGCTGGGCGGGAGGCTGCGCGGGCTCCGCAGGGAGCGGCGCGCGGCCTCACTCGGCCAGGGGGCCCTGCCCTCCCGGGGGCACGGCGCCCGGGCCCACGGCGAGCCGCCGTCGGCGAGCACGGCGGCAAGGCGCCGAAGTATCGCTGGCCTGGCGAAGCCGTGGGTCGGGCGCTGTCCGATCGCCTTCGTGGCGCCGGAGGGCAAGGGCCCAGCGCTGGAGGTCCCGAAGATGCACTTGCGAGCGTGGTTCGACCTCTGCGCTCACCGCGCGGACATCTGCCAAACGGCGGCGAGGGCTTGGCCGCTGATCTACGGCCAGCTGCTGAAGGTGCCCTCGCAGCACCGCTGCCGGCTGCGGGGCGTGATGGCCTCGCTCATGCTCACACTCTGGGAAGCAGGATGGACGCCCCATTTGCCGGCCTCGTGGACCGACCCGCGAGGAGAGGAGTGGGCCGTGGCTACGGGCTCGGAGCAGAACGACCCCGCGGATGTCATAGACGCCGTGATGTCAGACATTGCCGCCAAGCTGTGGGCTAAGGCGGCAGGAGGCTACAACGCGGCGGGACTGAAGCTGGGTATGGACGTGAGCAACCCCAGGCACACGCTCAAGACGTGCAGGAGGACCAAGCCAGACTTGGCCAATGCTCTGCTCCCGGCGATGACGGCGAGCACGTGGACGGCGGCTCGCAAGAAGGAGATCCTCGGCAAGGAGAGGATCAAGACTCTGCGGCGAGGTGGCTGACTACTACCATCGCATCTGGGGAGACTGCCCGAGCGACCCCCGCACGAGGACTTCGAGAGGACGGACTGGCTGAAACCCATAACTAAACGAAAATACCAAAACAGCCCCGCCCTGTGGTTGCGAGGCATGGCCCCTCTCGTTCGTGGAACACGCCGCCGCCCTGCGACACAGGCGTCCTGCGGACGACATTCGGCGACGTCGGCCAGGGCTGGCTCGCGCCGATCGAGGACAGCCACTTCGCCTGTGGCGACGGCAGCGGTGGCGAGGAGGCTTCGAACGCGCGCTTCCACCGCTGCGGCTTGGGCTGTTGCCTGCTGCACGGCACGGTGGATCTTCCAGCTCCGGTCGACAGCGTGCGAGCGCCACTCGCAGGCCATCGCGAATCAAACAATCGAGCATCATTGAGCAGTTTGATATCTGTGCTTCAAGATACTTCAGGCGACGTAGAGTTTGGGATAGACAGTGATACCCTGTTCAAAAAGTGGACCCGCGGCCGTCACTTGAGACTGGCGGGATGGAGTGTGAATGGTGACTTGTGGAAGCCTTGGGGTTTGAGCTCAAGGAGCGCGGAGAAGCAAGAGTGCCAGTGCATTTCTTGAGCAACCATCTGTCTCCCGAGGAACCGTTTGCAGAAGGAGGCCCTCCGATGGCCTGGTTAGATAATCAAATTGCTGATGAGCTAGCTGCCGCCGCTGCCGCCTCCCATGCCATCCCCGCCCCCCGCCTGACTTGCTAGAAATGGATGGTGGCGCCTCGTTGTCGTATACGGCTCCGCATAGCGAGATCCACGTTGCCCGCCTTCCAGGCGGAGGAGCACCCGCCGACGGTGCGCGAGGTGGAGCTGGTGACCAAAGAGGACCAGGTCTACCGCCCTTGCGCGCGCCCAGGCGGGCTCCTCCCACTGTCTTGTTGATTATAAAACTCGCTTCAGTTGTCTCGATTGTCTCAGCAGTGTCAGCAAGGCCTCTCGCGGTAGAGTATTGCAGAATTGGCTGTGCTCCCACCGCCCTGGCCCGCCCAAGACCCAGCCCCGGCATGTGCTCGCCGCCATGGGCACTCGCGCCGCCCACCATTACCATGCCTTGGCGCTCTGCGATCCACACTGGGTGTGCAAACTGCGCGGGTGCAGGGCTAAGCAAGGTAACGGCCATCTCTGGGACCCGGCGGAGGAGTGCGAGCGTGCCAGAGTTGAGGCCACCACGAACATTGGTGGCCCGGGTCCTCCAGGGCCGTGCTGACGGGAAGCCTCACGAGCGAGCCCTCTGCAGTAGCGTGGTCTGACGGAGTCAGTTTGGGGTAATCCTTGGGTAATCCTACACCTCCTTTCCGCATAACTAACTCCCCCCCTGTCGCACCCCCAGAAACTCAGTAGGGCAGACAGGGCGTTTCGCCTGAGGCGTCACCACTACGTTTCATCCTGGAGCTTGAGCTCTGCATCAGTTTCACGGATGGAAGACGGACCGTTTACAACATGTAGCTCTCGCTTGGCGAAGGCACATTCGCTTTCAAAGTTTAGACCAGTTTCACATATTGAGTACTGGTCGTTTTCAAATGTGGTTCTCGCCTTAGCGCCGCGCAGGTTCGTATGAAAAGTTTGCAACCGTTTCAAACATGAAAGGCGGTTATGTTCTGCTAAATGCGGTTCCCGCCAAAGCGCCGCGCACATGTGTTTAAAAAAATCGTGGCAACTATGTCATTGATTCGCACTGCTGAATCCCACGAATGGCGTTGTTGTCTTATCTACGGCTGTCAGGACCCATGCCATGTTGATTCGTAGTATTGACATCCTGGGAATATTGTTCTGGCACGATTTTGAGTTGTCAAGACACAACACACATTGACACGCGACGTTGAAGTCCAAGCTATGGTGTCTGGCACAAATCAAAGTTCTCAAATGGTTGCCTTCCAATGGGGGCATTTCCCGCAATGAAAATTGCTTATATTGCAGGGACCTGTGAAGATGAAACTTGGAGGGAGGGTTGATTGCAGCATCGTTGGTGCGTCTTTGAGCTACACTGGTCCTCGTCACTCCTCCTCCCCCTCACTCCTTCTCCTCCTCACTCCTCCTCCTCCTCCTCCTCCTCCTCCTCCTCCTCCTCCTCCTCCTCCTCCTCCTCCTCCCCCTCCTCCCCCTCCTCCCTCTACTCCTCCTCCTCTTCCCTCTCCCCCCTCTACTCAGACTCCTCCTCCTCTTCCCTCTTCCTCTTCCCTCCTCCCTCTACTCCTCCTCCTCCTCTTCCCTCCTCCCTCTACTCCTCCTCCTCTTCCCTCCTCCTCTTCCCTCCTCCTCTTCCCTCCTCCCTCTACTCCTCCTCCTCTTCCCTCCTCCTCTCCCTCCTCCTCCTCCTCAGCAGCAGCATGATCATGGCCCTCCTCCTCGCCTGAATGTCCGACAGGTCCTCCAGAATCACGTGCACGGCGTTCTTGATCTGGACCTTCGGGACGCTCGGGCCGCTGCCGCCCGAGCTGACCCGCGTGCCCTCCTCGGGAGGGGAGAATGGAGGAGAGAGAGAGAGAGGGGAGGGGAGGGGAAGAAGGGAGGGGAGGAGGGGAGGAGAGGGGAGGAGAGGGGAGAGAAGGGGAGGGAAGGGAGGAGGGGAGAAGAGGGGAGGAGAGGGGAGGGAAGGGGAGGAGGGGAGGGAGGGGAGGAGAGGGGAGGAGGGGAGGGAAGGGCAGGAGGGGAGGAGAGGGGAGGGAAGGGAGGGAAGGAGAGGGGAGGAGAGGATGAGGAGGGTCACGGCTCCCCGAGGAGAGGGGGAGAGAGGGTCCCGAGAGGCCGCCGTGCCTGCCTCCCAGGCGCGCCTACGCGCGGCTACCCTAACTCTGCAGACTCAGAGAGGGAGGAGGAGGAGGAGGAGGAGGAGGAGGAGGAGGAGGAGGAGGAGGAGAAAGAATGGGGCCGCCACCTTGGACGAGTTGCGCGCGGTCACTACGCGTTTTCGCGCCGGGCGCCTGGACGTCGGCGCCAGCCGCGCACATGCCTGCCACCAGGGACATTGCGAAGCGGGCTCTCGCACAGGTGCTGTCGGGGAGGCGCCCGATGCGGAGGGGTTTGGCCGCGGCGCGGCGGACCCCGGCATCGGCGGTGATAGCGGGGCGAGTCCAAGCCTCCGCTGCCAGCACAACGCCCCCACAAGCTTCACGGCGGCGGAGCTCGTCGCCGACGGCCCCCCCTACCACTTTGCCTGGGTGGATTTTTGGCCCGAGAGGCGGTCGAACAGGACAGCTTCTTCCAGCGATGCTTGTAGCTCCAAGGCCGCAGGAGCGATGGAGTTACTGTCGCCAGCGAATGCAGTGCTGAGGCAGCGCGGCCGATTGGATTGGTCTAGACTCGCACGAGGAGGCCAATGTCGTCGAGCGAAAAGGAACTGCCCAGGAGGTGGCCGCTGGTGCAACTGGTGTGAACCAGGGGTTTTGAACACAGTCAACCCGTATAATAAGGACGCACGAAAAAGGATACCAGGGTCTTGGAAGGCCATGTCCATGTCGACACTTTGCGAGCGGGGCGCGGCCAGCGAAAGCGGCCAAGGATGGGCCGACAGGGAAGGACGCTGGGGATTTTTTGAAAGTTGCTCATTATCACTATGCAGGTTGACTTGGGCCCAACCCATGCGGATGCATCGCTGGTGGTTGGCGCAAAAGAACCTTCTGACATGGACCATGTCTGGTGGGCACCCTGCGCGAAACGTGAGGTTGAGGCGCATGTCCATGACGGGATAGGCGAAGCCTCGAGTGCCGCGCCCGCGAACGGCCCGTTCAGGTGATGGGCGTGATCCACCTGCATGGCAGGCGCGGCGCTGACGTCACTGATGGCGGCGCGCGGGACGGCGCCGGAACTGGCTGGGCAGGCCTAGCGCGCGCTGATCCGCGGGCAGCTCGCCTTTACCTTTCCCGAGGCACGGCTTTGGAACATGGAGGAGTGGACCTGGCACCTTCCCTGTGCGCCGCATGCCTCTCAGCGCTTCGGCGAACAGACGCTGAGTCCCGTCTGGTAACGTCCCCGCCTCCTCCTTGTGGTCCAGCCACCCGTGCCCCCCGCTCGGATAGCGGGGCGGGCACGGATGAAGTGGACGCGGACTTTTTTCGGTGAGGGCAGAGGGCTGAGCAAGGACAGGCTCCGGGAGTTGCTGGTGGCACTCGTCCTCAAAAGCCTCCCGCGCGGGGATGGCGCTGCGGCATTGCACGAAAATTGGCTCTCAGGTGTCTGTCATGAGTTTCAGCCTGGCTTTTGTGTCGGCGAGGATGTTCTTGTTCGGCTTGCTCAGGGAGGCAGGGACATGGTAGTCCGAGTCTCCTGAGCTGCCCGAGGCAGCAGAGTCGGAAAGGATGTCGGTGGAAGCACCGTCACACTGTGGTTGTGGGTCTGGAGACTTGGCATTTGACCCCAGTAATTCGCGTGCCTGGTGGGCTTCTCCTGTCGACCACCTTGTCCCCGTCAGTGCAGGTCCTTGTGCCTGCTGGCGCGTGGGGGGGCACTGTGCGGCGCGTGCAGGTGGTCGGCCGGTGCTGGAGTGGGCGCAGCTTTGACCCACTCGTTGTTGCCTTGGCTCGCATTCGGTTTGGCCACGCTGCAACGCGGGCGGCCTTATCGCATTCGCTGCACCGTTGGTGTTGTGCTTCGGTGGACGCTATGAGGCTGTCTGTCCAGCTGGAGGTATGTGGGCAGTTCCTCCAGGTCCCACACGTGCGGGAACTCCGTTAGCCTGGTCGGACTGTGCCGCTGGGCGAGCAGGTCAGCGGTGATGCCATGCCTAATCTAGCAAGGCTGGCGGATTACCAGGAGGGCGCTAATGGTTCTAAATTGTCGTCGCAGCTTTTCCATCGTGGGCCTCGCTCGGTTTGCAGTTCCGTGGTGCGGGTCCACCAAGTGGACGGCGAACGCGTTGTTGAAGCGTGGCGCTGTACCGTGCCTCGTTGGCGTCTTGCGTGGCCTGCCCTGGCTGGTTGGTGGGACGACGTGGCTAATCTCGTGGTGGAAGGCGCGCGCAGCTGATTGGCCAGCTCGACCATATGTTCCACCACATGGCTTCGATGCGGTCGCCTAGGGCTCGCTGCTCCTCCCAGTCAGTTGCTGTGTACGCCAGCGGGTATGGCACGACGCTCTTCGACCTTATCCCTGGTTGTATTGCCAGGTCGAGGTCGGAGGAAGAGAGGAGGAAGGCGGAGAGGAGGGGAGGGGAGGAAGGCGGAGGATGAAGAGGGGAGGAACAGGAGAGGGAGGGGGGGGAAGAGGGGACAGGGAGGGAAGAAGGGAGGGAGAGAGGATGTCTTGCGTTTGCATGTTCATGCCAGGTATCGCGTCACATCACGTGGCCACAGCCATGTCATCGGGGCTCAACACGTCGTTTTCGAGCATGCCCAGGCGCCCTCGAGCACAGAGGTCCTCTTTCCAAAAAATGACGCCCACCAGAGGTCCGTCCCCTGAGGCCTTCAGAGGCCGCAGAGGGCCAGAGAGACTCAACGACGCGCTACACCTCACATCTCTCGCCGCTGGGGAGACGGAGGCCACGCGCGAAAGAACGGTTGTTGGTCTTCATGCCCACTGATTCTGCACCCAAGTCGGTCCCGAGATGGGAGGAGGGGTGGCCCCGCCCCTGGGTGCCGTAGGCTCCCAGGGCGGCGGGCGAATCTCAACTCCCTGCCTCGCGTCCTCCTCATCCTCTTCGCAGGAAGTGGGTTCTCTGGTCTACGCTCACGCGGTGATCAACGTGCCCTCCGAACCGAACCTGGGACTGCACGCGCACGGGGGCCATGCCATCGACCCCCCCACGGACGAAGGAATCAGAAGAGTAGTAACCTTGAACAGCGCTGTGCCTTCGCTGCTGCATGCCCCACCCCCTCCTGCGCACTCCTTTGCACCCGGGGGTCGTCCTGGCCTGTTGCGCCACACAGCGTGCCCTGCACAAGGTCAGCGTTGGCAGTCGCCGCCCGCCTCTGTTGGGCGGGCAGCGGCCGGACCATGCCCCAGGGCGGGCGGGAGGGGAGCCTCATCAGCTTCGGGCACACGCATTGGGCAAAGCGCTGCTGTCAGCGCTGTGCCTTCGCTGCTGCATGCCCCACCCCCTCCTGCGCACTGCTTTACACCCGGTGGTCGGCCCGGCCTTCTGCGCCACACAGCGTGCCCTGCACAAGGGGTCAGCGTTGACGGTAGCCGCCAGGCCCAGAAGGGCGGGCAGCGGCCGGACCACGCCAACCCAAATAGGCGGCGCTGGGGTGGCCAATGGGTGTCGGAGGCAGGCTCGTTGACCTGCCGACCACCCTGCGGCGGCGGCAATCCGACGTCGCCGGTCAACGCCGGCTCGCGCAGCCGAGTGCCCGCACGCTCAGATCGAGCAAGTCTGGACATGCCGCAGCCAGCGGCGAATGCGGTCGCGGGCCGTATCAGAGAGAACAGGCCGGAGGCTCGCGGCAGCAACCTCCCGGATGTAGATCGCCAGCGTCCTGGCCGATGCCCATCGTCCTCGCCATTGTGTCTGGGCGAAGCTGTCGGAAGATTCGAAAATAAATGCGACGCCGCCAGCCCGATGGCCGGCTGGCGCGATATCTCCGCTGCCAGCAGGCACGCCCACATGGAACAACAAGGCAGTGTGTGCTTGGCGGCACTGATGGGCGCTGCCAGGCCAAAGCCGCTGCTGCCTCCAAAGGTGCGCCAACCATGCCTCGAGCAGCTGGATCAGCACCGGGTCATCAAACCGCAATCGGTGGCGAGCCGCCAAGCGTCGTATCTTCGGCAGGTTGATCCTCACGCATGCCCGTGGCCTGTCTGAAATCAGGGCGCCTGGCAGCAACGCGTCGCTCGGGGTCAGGGCGAGGAGCTCCTCTGGCCAGAGCATGGCGACAAAAGCAAGATATAGCAAAGCTCCCGTATCCACCCACCCCCGTAGCAGCGAAAGCGAGACCAGGGCCAGCAACAGTACTGGCGGCGTCGGGAGATGGTTTCTGACGGGCATGAAAGCATGCCACGCGTCTGCCACATCCCTCACCGCTGCCTGCAGGTGTCGCTGGAGGGAGCGGTCCAAGTCCACCATGGCTTTTACTGTCTCGGTGAAGTCGCCGACTGGACATGCCACGTTGCAAAGGCGCTGCCCGAATCTGGCACGCACTCATGCGACCTCGCGGCCGGCCAATGAAACCAGCTGGGAGATGGACATGCATGGTCAGCTCGGAATGCAGCCAATATCCAAGTGGCTGCACCAGCACTGCTCGGCGCCCGACTGTCTGGGCCGACAGCGCGCGAGTACGCACCAGGTCAATCGCGGAGCGGCTGTGGAGCGGCAGCGACTGCGCGCGCGGGCCCTCTCCCGATTTGCCGAGCGCGCTGTCGAAAACGTGCGCTGCACCCAAGGCCGCGGCCTCCGGGGCTGCCTCCAACTCGCGAGCAGGAAGAGGCGGGCCCAATCTGCAACCGCCTTGCGCTGCAGGGGCATCGCGGCGACGAAGTCGAAGAGGGCGAAATCAGCCTCGCTGTCCAAAGCCAGCCAACTGCCGCAGGCGCCCGCCTGCCGCACCTCGCGATTCCGCGTCGGGTCGTCGGCGGCTTTCAGGCACGTAGGGACAGAATGCCCACCTGGATAGCGGTCTTGTCCCACAATGGCTGGCACGGCCAGTCGAAGCTGATCGCCGATCGGCTCGCCGGACGAACGACCCTTGGCCAACGCGCCGAAGGCGACCAGGGAGTCCGGCAAGCACACTTGCCTGGAGCTGGGGCGGGCTGCAGCCTGTCTCCTCCAGCATTGGGCGCATGCTCGAATCTCTCGCACGTCGATGCGCTGCCCGTCGTCGTCCAACGCGCACCCTTCAAGAGACCACGCAGCCCCCGTGGCAACCTCGTTAATCAGCAAGGATTCGGAGGCGCCGCCGGGGCCTGGCGCGCTCTCGGCGCACGCGAGGTCGCCTTCGCACTGGGCCAGCTGCATCTCCTCGCGGGACCTGTCCACGAAGCCAGCGACGAGGGCGGCCCAGCGGCCGCAGAATGCCGGAGGCGGCTCTACCTGGAGAGCCCCAGGCACGCCGAGTCAGACATGCCCGAGGAAGCCTGGGCACGGCCTGGCCAGCGGCGCCTAGAATCGGGCCTTCACCAAGCTCATGCGGACATCCTGGCGGCGCGTGCGCCAGTAAGCGCACGTTGAGAAATAGTAGGCCCCCCACTCGTGCATGGTTCATGAATGCCTTCATCTGCGGCATGTCCCACAAAATGAACTTCGCGGACGCCGCCAGCTGCCGGCGGCCCGAGGGGGTTGGCGAACGGCCAAGCGCACGGCCAAGGAAATCAAGAACAACTGACTCCCTAGATCGACGGCTGTCTCACCCGGGTCGGAACGAACGCGCGCGACCTGAGCCCGGGGCGCCGAGCTGCGCTGAAGGTCGCGCGCGGCGGGGCGCAATTGATGTAGAGCACGCGCCCCTCGGCGACAAGCCACAGCGTCCACTCCAGCAGTCGGTCCGATCTGAAGTCCCACGCAGCGGACATCCTGACGTCGACGAAGGGGCCGATTCGCAGCCCGCGCCGGGAGCAGGCTGACAGGAAGTGGCTGCGCCGGCCGGCGCAAAGCTCCAGGACGTCGAAATCCTCGACAAAGGCACACTGCGGATCTGCGGCCTGCGCGCGCAGCTGCTCGGCGCGCTGGGCCCCCGTGAAGTCGGCGCGATCCCGATCGGCCCCTCGGGCGAAGAGCCACTCGCCACGCTGCCCGACCAGGTGCGTCGGCCACCCGCGGAGGTCGCGCAGCCGCCAGAGTTCGCGATGAAGCCTGCGGCTGATGGGGGCGGCGACGGCGCCCAAGGCGTTCCCCGACGCATTACTGGCCACCAACACATCGCCGGGGTGAACCCCGATGCTCGATGCCATCGCGGCGCAGGGCGCCGCCTACAACACCGGCGCAGGCAACTCGAACACCTGCGCACCCAAACTGGGGTCTGGAAAGCATCTGAAGACATGCCAGAGGACGCAGAGGAGTGGCCTGCGGAACAGGAGGATGCACGCCCAGCTGCTGACCACCGCGCGCAGCAGCGCGCCCGTGACCCGCCGCCGCGCGGCCAGCTGCACGCCGAGCTCTGCCAGGCGCATGCGACGGAGATGGCGCACCAAGCCAGCGCCCTGATAGGCGGCGCCGGCGGCGTCAAAAGTCTCGATGAGCGCCCGGCGCGGCCCTCCGCCAGAAGCCCCCCCGAGGGGCCGGGGCCGGAAACTGCAGTAAGTCTCCATCTCCAGCACCCCGCGAGGGCCAGAAACTGGGGCAAGTTTTCTGGCGGCGGCCGGGGCTGCGAGGGGGGCCGCAGGGGCCGCCGGCGAGGCCGCTGCCGGGGCTGCCGACGCTGCCCGGGGGCGACCCGGGAAGCTGCCGAGAACGGCGCCGGGCGACCCAAGAACCCGAGGTACTTTCGAATCGCCGCCAGGACTGCTGCCAGGGCCGCCGAAGCCGCCCGGGGGGCCGCCAGAGGGCCGACGGCGCGTTGCGGGCCCGTGCGATGGGGCCCCTGGGGCACGCCTTTCCTTGCAAGACGCGCCTCTCGGCCGGCAGCGCCCCGGCAGACCAGAGCACCTGCGAGCGGGCCTCCACCGCGCAATCCGCCGCGCTGGCGTCACCCATCACCAGCGAGAGCGCGCGCGGAACCAGCTTCGGCGGCGGCCCCGCGCCAAAGCGGCGCAACGCGCGCACGCCCGCCAGTTCCGAAGGGCTGAGCTCGACGGCCAGGGCGCTCGCGCACGCTCGAGCTGGAGGCGCAATCTTGCAAGGGCAAAAGTCCCGCGGGTCATCGGCGAAGACCCCCGCGAATTCATCGTCATCGAGCTCGTGCTCGACGCAATTGCACCCTGCCGGCAGGTCCCGGCCCCGCCGCCGCCGCCTGCCCCAGACGACTCGGTCGACGGACTCGCTCTCAGCCCGGCCACGAGGCTCACGTGCTGGCTCTTGGGCGCCTCGCTCGGCGCGGCCAGGCAGAGGAGGCCGGCCGCGCCCAGCTCACGCGCAGACTTCGCGAGCTCCCCGCGCCGCGCCCTGAGCCCCGCCATGGGGCGCGGGCAGGGTTCGCGCGGCACCTCCAACAGGCGCGGCTCGAGGAAGCAGGCCGCGTCGAACGGCTGTAGATACGAGTCGACGCGGGCGTCGAGGAATTCTGCGCGGTCGGCCTTGAAATCGCCTCCGGGAAGGGCGGCCGGCGCAGGGCAAACGGCGCCCAGGCCGGCGGGCGGCCCGCACCTGCTCTGAGCAGTCGCATAAAGTGTTCAACCCCACATCGCCGCGGCCGCCCAAGGACAGGGGCGGGCGGCGGAGCAGCCAGGCCAGCACCTCGAGCCGCGAGCACACACGCCGGTGCTCCTCTCCCAAGGGCCCCCCGCAGCAAGCGACGAGGGGCGCGACTCGGCGCCCTCTGGCGGCCAGCTGAGACAGCGCGCACGCCATGAGAATCACCAAGACGTTCGTCGCGCGGCGCCCGCTCCATCTGGAGCGCCGTCGCGCCGAGCGGGGCGCCGGCCTACTCGCCCATGGGAACGGCAGCGGGCAGGGCCACGCGCCGGAAGAAGTGCGGCGGTGCCCCCGCGCGGGGCCGCCGCGGATGCAGGGGCGCTTCGCGGAGGCGATCCAAGCACCAAGGGCGGCGCCCTTCGCCATAACCGCAGTTGCGACGCTGCGGGCCCAGTCGCACAGGAGCTTCTCCTGATGGCCCGCCTCGCTCTTGCCATGCACATGGCGCGAGCGCCAATCGGGGCCCGAAGTTGGCCTCGGGCGTCCCCCAACATTCACTCAGCGGACGCGGGCTCGCCCTTGCCCCTCTTGCCTCTGCCGCCGCCCTTGCGGTGCGGTCTGGTCCCAGGCGGGGCGCGCCCTTAGGGAGGGTCTCCCTGGCCGCTGCCTGGGTAGCCCCTGGCGCCCTGCGGCAGAGCTCCGCCAGGGCTGCTGCATCTCTGGCGGACGCAATCGCCGCCGCAGTCCAAGCGGGTCCGCCAGCCTCCCGAAAGGCCAGAGCGCGCCCTGAGGTGGCTGCTGAGGTGGCGCCCTGGCGGACCATCCCAGACGTTAGCTTCACAGGGCTCAGAAGCCATCGCCCGCCTCCGAGCTCGATCGACTTGCGAAGACGTGCCTGCTCCCCTCCTCCGCCCGAGCGCGCGCGAGAGCGCGCGCGGAGGGAGGACAAGGGAGGAGGGAGGACGGAGGAGGAGGAGGGGGAGGGGGAAGTGGAGGGAGGAGGAGGAGGAGGAGGAGGAGAAGGAGGAGAAGGAGGAGGACGGAGGAGGGAGGAGAGAGCAGGAAGGTTCCCCACCCCCGACAGGGCTCCAAGAGCCCCAGAGCCGCGGGATCGCACCAGTCGAGGCAGACGTGGAACTTGCACTCGAAGCTCGCCGTGCTGACATCGATGCCCGAGAGGATCCAGACGCGCACGCCGACGGATACGCCGGTGGCCTCACAGCACGTCGCCAGCTCGCCACAAGGCGGTGTCGAGCCCCGCAGCGCCGGGGGCACGGCGCCTGGGGCCTCCTCGGCGCGCAGCGCGGCGAGAGAGTCGCGCAAGTGCTCGGGCACCGGCTCGCTGAGCTGGTTGTGCTCAGGCCCTGCTTGGCGGCGCGCGCAAGAGGGTTGGGGGGAGGGGGGAAGGCTTCTTAGAAACAGGCTGCTTCTTAAAAGGCACCGACCTTACATCTAGAGAGAGGGCCTGCGTCCTGCGCCTTCCAAGAAGCAGGGGTGCTTCGAAGAAGCCTTCCTAGGGGAACACAAAGTGACATGAACATAAAAACTCGGAGGTGCGCGCGGATTTCTCGGATCGGCGCTGGGGCCCCCTGGCGGCGCCTCCGGCACCGCCCCTGGCGCGCTCCGCGCGCCAGGGAGGGGGGTCCAGCCGATCCGAGAAATCCGCGGGTACCCCCGAGTTTTTATGTTTGTGTCACTTCTTGTTCCCCTACTTCCCCCCTCCCCCTGCCCCCCTCTGCGCGTGGCCGACCTGTGACCAGGTCCGTCTGCACATGACCGGTCTGCCCATGGCTGGCCTGCAGGGCGCGGCGGACCCCGAGGAGCACCTGCGCGTTCCTGAGGAGCCACACCGCGAAGAAGGCGGCGCCGAGCAGCCAGTCCACGAGGCGGAGGGCCCACAGATCGACGACGTCCATCTTCGCCACCACGGTCCAGAACGCCGCGTTGCAGCCCATGACGAACACCTGGAGAGTCAAAAACACTGCACATAAACATGAACTCTCGGAGCTCCGCGCGACTCTCTTGGATCGGCGCCGATCCAAAAAACTCGCGCGGAGCTCCCAGAGTTTCTGCTATGGCGTTTTTCTTCCTCGAGCACCAGCCCCAGCCCGTGAAGTGCCACGCTGTCGTACGCGGTGACCTGCGCGATACGCGGCAGCTTGCTCGACACCGCGAGCTTGGCCACCACCTGCACCAGCAGCACGCCGACCACGACCTTGCCGCGGTTGTGGAACGCGTCCACATCAAGCGCATAGATCGTGAACACGAAGGACGACCACACACACAGCGAGGCCAGGTGCATGACGTAGTAGCGGCTGTGGCGCCGGATGCGCACGCCGAAGGCAGCGTGGCTCACCTGAGACTGCCGGCCAGAGGACGAGAAGGCGCCCAGGACCGTCCACTCCGCGATCTTCACGGCATCCTTGGTGTCGACGTCCTCAAGAAACAGGTACCTCAACGCATCCGACGGCTCCGGCAGCATAACGTGCGTGGCCAGCACCTGCTCGTCGAAGGGGAACTGGGCGAGCTGGACATGCATCTGTACCTGCGCCTGCACGCGCACCGTGCAGGCCACGCGCCCGGTCTTGGAGCAGAGGACCCGGACGCCGCCCTCAGGCCTGCAGGAGAGCCCAGAATCGAATCGACCAAATCGGATCGGCGATCGAAATGAGTCGGATCGGCGGAAATCTGCAGCCGAGTCGGGAGAAGTCGAATCGGCGGCAATCGGGAGGCTAGCGTGCCTCCAGTAAGGAATCGGAGTCCAAATCGGAACCCCAAGTCGGATAGAATCGGAATCGGAAGCCATCGAAATCGAAATCGAATCGAATCGGATCGGAGAAATCGAAACGAGCCCTGGGCCTGACGGTGCTCGTGAGGGCGTTCTGCACGGCCAGCCTCGGCGCCCGCTGCTCCCCCAGCTGCTCGTCGGCAAGCTCAGAGCCCTCCTCGGCGCCCGCTGCTGCGGGGGCCAGCCACACCATGCGCGCGGTGAAGTCGCACTTGAAGGTCGCGGTGGTGGTGTTCACGCTGTGGATGTTGCGGATCTGCATCCGCAGCAGCACGGCGGACGTCATGCTCTCTCCTCCCAGCGGCGCCTGGAAGGGCGAGGACGCGAGGCTGCGGCGCTGGGTCTCGAAACGCGGCGGCTGGCACTTCAGATCCGCCCGGCCCACCTGCGACAGGCCGGCGTCCTCCTGCGGACTGAAGCGCACCTCCAGGTAGATCCAAGCGTTGAACAGCACCCAGCCTGTCAGCAGCACGATCGCGGCGTGCAGCTGGAAGGCCGAGCCGCTGATCGGTGGGCTGGACGAGCTGGCGAGGGCGGTCGAGAGCCAGCAGACGATGGTGGTCAGGAAGAAGAATCCCTCGCACGCCAGCATGTAGCGGTCGAAGATGGTCGCATATGCCACCTTCGGGATCAAACCGAAGGTGGGTTGGCCGAAAGACCCCGCTGGTCCCGGGTGGACCTCCGCCACGAGGGTGGCTGGGCTATTGGCGGAACCATTGGCAGCGGGCACAGTGTGGGGGAGGAAAGTTGAAAGGGCCCTGGGACGCACAAATAAATACACACAAATCCGCCGACCCTGTCGGCGTGTGCGAGGGGCTTGGCTGTTCGAGTCGTCGTCTCCGTCGGTCGTCGCGTCCGTCGTCCCCTTTCCCTGCAGCTTCTTTCTCAAGCTCGTGAGCGAGAGAAAAATCTAGCAGTGTCGTAATCGAGTAGAAGGGAAGCCCCTTCCCTTCGATCCCTTCCCCAAGGGGGGGGG